TCTGCTATAGATCCTCTAAGAGAACTGAATCGAATGCGTTTCTTCTTATATTTAAAAAAAAAATTATTCTTTAAAAGAATGATGGTCACCTCAGGGCAGATCTGCCTTTAATTGTAAGAAAAATAGAATATGGTTCAGAAAAACCACCAGGGGTTAGCTGGACATAGTTGCCTGATAGTTGCCAAGACAGGCAGATGTCCATCTGGGTCTTGTTCGCAAATCACTCCAGTCTAGCGACAAGGCATGGGGTTTGCTAGTGAAGTAATATTTTTATGAAAATGGAGCCGATTCTACAGAACTTCAGCTTGAAGTCTGCAAAGTGCAATAAGAATCATACTTTCATTGACTTTTCTCATTTCTCCCCTGGCTAATAAAGAGAAGGCATCTTTAAAAATAAATGCAGCTCTGGCCGCATGGCTTAGTTGACTGAAGTGTCTTCCTGGACACCAAACAGGCTGCGGGTTCGATTCATGGTCGGGACTCATGTGGAAGGCGGCCGATTGATGTGAGTCTCTCAGGTTGTCTCCACCCCCACCCCCCCCAACCACCGGCTTCCTCTCTCTAAAATATAGTATAGGCTTCTATACTAGAGCATTGTTTGTGGGCACTAAATTTAGGAATTAGGCTGTGATCCTAACTGGTTGCTTAATCTCGAGTAAGTTGCTTAGCCTCTTGAAGCTTCGGTTGTCTTATTTGTAACATAAAGGTATTGGTCCTGGCTTAGATGGTCTCTGAGATCCCTTCCAGTCTGTCACCCCGTGACTTTTCTGCCACTGCTAGTTACCTAGGTGTGTGTGCAATCTGATGCCTGCCTCCTTTGGAGCGTTTTTGTTTTGTCGTTTAAGCTAGTAGCAAGCACTGATCACTGCAACCCTAAATAGAGCAACCAGAAGCACTTCACAAATGCTTCTAAGTGAATGGAATAATGTACACTTAGAATCCTGTGAGATGATCCTTTATGTTCCAAGGGAAACACTGAGGACTTTATAATTCCATAATTATGAAACTACCACAATAGCATATAATTATCAACATTTATCGGTTTATCCAAGCTTCTGATTTTTGAGGTAAATGTGATTACTTCTTGGACCTTTTCATGTTTTCTTCCTTTTCATCACCACACTACCAGTTGGTTGTTCTTTTGGGAGGCATCTTCCCCCCAAAGAAGTAAGCTATCTATCACTCACCAACAGTTAATGTATACACAACAGATAAAGCAAATGATAAAGTCACTTTGAGAGGCTGATGCTGTGTTACTAGCTAGATATCTTTACTAGCTTGGTGACTCACTGCTGCACAAAACGTCCTGAGAACACACCTCAGATTTTTTGCCTTTGTAAAGCTGCCATGGGCTAGTGGAGTGTTTTTGTCTTCTTGTTACAGTGCTCTTGATGGACCAACTCTCCTCAATGCAATAGCAGAGAGAAACGCCCCTCGCATCAGTCTCCTGCATATGCTGCGATCCCAAATTGACTGTCATTTTACAAGGGGCCCTGAGAGGATTTCTCATTTCCTAGTCCCACATTCCAACCCCCTTTCAGGGCTGATGCCAATGATAATGTTTGGGAGAGCAGGATATGCAACTCATGATTTTTTTGGTTTGTTTACTTATTTCTTTTACTAAAGTCTGCGAGAAACAACAGGGTTGTACAAACCTTCTAATATTTAGGCTTGGTTTAGCCTTTCTATACCTCTTTCTTTGTGACACAGAACTGTGCCTGATCTTCTCACAAGGCTATTTTTTTGTGCTGTAATATTGGGCTAGCCAAGAAGTCGGTTTGGTTTTTTCTTTTTTTTTTTTTTTTCTTTTCTGTTTGTTTGTTTCTTGAGTGTTTTCCATGAGATGGCTCTAGTAGCACTTAGTTGTCTTTAACTTCATTTGAAACAGTTTTGCTGGATTTTATTGTGACAGCTGTCATAACACCATGCATTTAAAACAATTATCAAAATTGGTGAATTTTTGTGTAGCCATTTTAATATTGAATATGGAAGAAAATATGGAAGAATATATGGAACATTTTCAGCATATCCTACCTTTATTATTTCAAGAAAGGTAAAAGCACAACTGAAATGCAAAAATAAGATTTGTGCAGTGTATGGAGAAGGTGCTGTGACTGATCGAACATGTCAGAAGTGGTTTGCAGAGTTTCGTTTTGGAGATCTTTCACTGGGCAATGCTCCACGGTCAGGTAGACTAGTTGAAGTTGATAGCGATCAAATTGAGACATTAAATCAACAGTATATCATGTGGGAGATAGCTGACATAACTCAAAATATCCAAATCAGTAAAGTTATTGGTGGAAATAAAGTCTTTTATTTTATGGAAAAAAACTAAACGGACTTTTTGGCCAACCCGGTACTCATCATGATTACCATGAGGTCATCATAGTGAATACAGACCTCCTGTGCTTCCCTCCTGCTTATTTTATCTGTTTCCATTCACGATCTTGGCAACATTTACTCTTTTCCCTAAACTCCTAGACCTCCCACATTTTATCTTTATTTCTACCATCTAACCCTGATTATTTGCTCCTTCACTACAATAAACTCTTCTTTTCATCAAAATTGCCCACTCAACAAGTGGCCTGGGTGCCCCGCCAGCCTCATGTACCCACTGCACCCCACTTGGGTTTCAGCTACACCGAACCACTTATTACTCCCCAAGCCTCCCCACGTTCACCCTTACAGGCTTCCCTGAGCCTTTACCTGTGCCCTTCTGCCCTCGTGGCCTATCTGAAACCCACTTGCTTTGAGATGTGTCCTGAGTGCTGCTCCCTCCAGGTAAGTCTTCCCTGGTCACTGCCCACCTGCAGCCCCACATGCTCCTCCCGTGTCCAACATGGCATCCTTCTTAGTTTAGACTTAATTGTGAACATACTTGATTCCGAGAAGACAGCACCCACCTGGTCTTTGCTCCCCACGCCTACCTGCTCTTGTTTTGGTGCTCAGATACAATGAATGAGGATTCTTGGTTTGCATTTCACAACACTGAAAGCCTTCAGGCTCAGATGACATTTCTAATGCGGGTAGAATGACACTGTGCTCCAGCCTCAGTAAGAAATGTTCCCTGCAACCAGTATTTCCTTCTCTCAGCCCTTCCCTGTGCACTCCTTTGTAAAGTTCATCCTAATAATCTCTACAAGTAATTCCTTACAAAGCAGAAGTTTTGGCAGGCACTCTGTGTTTGGAACCTGCCAAGCCAGGAGGGTTTAAGGTGGCTTTTAAAGATTTTACAAATGCCATTTATACCGTAGATACAGCAGCAGAATTTGTCTGGCTTTCTTAGCTGTAAAACAGTCTCAGCCAAGCTGACGCTGAGTGTGTTGGCCATGCAGCAGAGGTAATTGATTCATTATACACAAAATCTCCTCTAAAAGGAAATCAGAACTTTTAAGTGCTGACTGAAAGGAGAGCTGATAAATCAAGACACAACTACCCTCCAGACCAAAAAGACGAGACTCTTAAGAATGCTTTTTAATTGTTTTATTTCCTAAACCTAATTATTGTTAGCTTTGCAGGTGTCTAAAAAATTAATTTTGTCATAGAACATTAAGCTGTGTATTTTTTATCTTCACCTCTCCCATTCTATGTCATATTTTGCATGTCAGGGGGTGGGGGCTTTATATCTTCTTAAAGTCCATCCAGATTTGGGTGGCTCTTATTAAAAATACCTTATAAAGCAGGGACTTGGCTGAATCCCTTCCTTGGGAGGATGTTGACTTTGAGAGAACCAAGAAGTCTGAAGAGATCTTCACATTTCTCTAGTGTATAGTCTGCCTCCCCAGCTTAAAATGGCAGCTGCCTGTTCTCCAAGTTCCAGAGATCACCACTCACCATATTGATCAACCCAAAACCGAAGACTGTAGACTTTTTTTGCTCGTGCACGCGCAAACCCCCCCCCCCCCCCAAAAAAAAAAACCCTAAAGGGAATACCAGGCTGAGAGGATTTCTTCTGGTCCTAGCTTTCTTCACAGACACCCTTCCCCTGGGGCTGAACAGACACCTGTGGGCTTTCCAACCTCATAATTAACTCCATTGGCAATTTCCTCTTCTAGCTCACTTGCAAAGTAAGCGCTTCAGTGAGGGTTAATTTTGCCCTTTCCTTGTCTGCACCCAGTGTGTGTGCAGTGATGATAATGGTGGCGGGGGAAGGAAGGATAGGTGTGCCTTGAAACACGTACTACAATTTTAAGTTTTCTTAGCTTGCTCATAATTAATTCAGAAACCAAAGGTTGAGGGTTCCATGAAAGGCTGAGAAGGGTTGGGCGTTCTTGTGCTAATGAAACATAGCTGCATTTAAATATCCGCTTCCTGTTAGCAAATGCAAATCAGATAGAAGGAAATTCACCACTGAGTGGCATTCTCACTGATTTCATTTCCATTCTCCTTTCCTATTCTCTAACTCTACCTACTTTTGGGGAAGTTAACTGTGGTATTTGTTAGACATACTAATCCATATACCTCTCAAAGCATCCGTTTTGTTCTGCACAGGTGAGGTGCTGGCTTTCCAGTAGCTCTGGCCCCAGCACCCCATCATGTGTTCCTCCAAGAAGACAGCCCTTTTTTGGGGCCCTCCTTTGGGACCCTCCAGGTGAGAAAGGACATGCTGTTTCTGCTCACCAGAGTCTTTGATTATTTTGCTCACTGTAGCATCAGTGCTAGGAGTCTTAGTTCTTTTTCACCTTGGAATTTGAGGGGATGAAGAAATCTAATTTCTTCAGGAAATCTTCGAAGGGGAGAAGTTCCTAGTAGGCTGAGAGAAGAATCTTGTTAGGTGTATGGGTACGTATGTGGACACAGACTTAACCTTTCAGTTTCACATACTGACCATAGATGTGACCATCTATTGAGCCTAAAGGAACGCTGGTAAGTGGTCTGGGGGTGGGGGAAGATCTGTCTGTTTTCTCTCTGACTGTCTTTTATTTTGTCCTTAAATGACATATTCTTTAGGAATATGTCATATCTCTGTAAGTGGTGTACCAACTCTTCTTTTTTTTCAGGGAGGAAGATGAGTACTCAGAGCTGCGATCAGAACTCAGCCAGAGTCAACAAGAGGTCAACGAGGACTCTCGAAGCATGGATCAAGACCAGACCTCTGTCTCCATCCCTGAAAACCAGTCCACCATGGTCACTGCTGACATGGGTGAGTCTGCCTGCCATCACCACAGAGTCTGGTTTCCATAATCGGAATTTAGAAACATGAGGCGGCCTGAATTAAAATTTAATTAGTCACGGAGTTTGGTGAGTAGATGAAGGCATACTCATTTCAGTCCCTTACATACTACTTTGTTGGTCAAAATGTAACTGAAGAGCTGAATTAGCTTTCTTTCCTGACATTTGTGATTCAAACATATGTCACTTCTATTTGAAAAATCTGCCAGTAGGGAACCAGTTATAAAGGCTATTGGAATGTTCCAAGTTACAGTAGAATCTGAATTATGGTGGCAGGAATAGAAAGGCTAGAATGGGTGGTGACACATTGCCATGGAAGAACCAATAGCAACTGTTGGGTAAGGAGGAATCCAAAATGACTCTAAACATTTTGATCCTTAGTGACTAAGAGAATGATCATATTCCTAAGAAGGGAGTTTGGTTGAGAAATGAATTGGGAAATAGATATATTAAGTTTGAGGTTGCAGAGAAACATCCATGTGGAAATAATCTGGTACAGTGTGTTCATATGGTGTGTTTTTAAACTGTAGGTCATGACCAATGCATTAGTGGGTCTTGAAATTATATGAAAAATAAATTATTTTAAAATGAAATTAAATAGGAAAAAAATGGAATAGAATAGTATTATTTCATGAAAATTGTTTGTTACATGTGTATATGTAGTAAGCTGCCAAATGAAATGTTCCAAATGTGGGTTGCAGTCAAAATGTTGCAAAACCACTGGTATACTTGGAGATGCCTAATTGGCTCTCTGGAGAGATTGAGGTTGAGGATAAAGGCTTTGAAGTTGTAAAGATCCCCATGGTCACAAAGGTGTGGAGTCAAAAGAGGGAGGAGACCCATATCTTAGGAAATATTCACAAGGAGGAGAGAGACTGAAGAAGGACTGGGAGAAGGAAGAGTAAGATCATGCAAGATCTTGTAGTCTGCGTGAGAGGGTTTGATCTGTATTCAAATTTCCACAAGAATCAACTGATAAGATTTTAGTAGTGGAAGGGAGAGGAAAAGACAATCAGATTACATTTGAATCGGTCACTCTGAAGTGAGGAGAAGGAATCAGTGGATCAAGAGTGAATGGGGGAGGCCAACTAGGAAACCAGTAAAAGGGCACGTGGGCAAAGTTGTTGCTGGGATTTAGGGTGGTGGCCATTGGGATGTAGAAAAGCAGATGGGTGGAGAAAAGATATGAAATGGGAAGATCTGGCCCAAGGATTGGAAACAGAAGGAGGTATGTGCGTGGAGATGTCCCATATATACAAGTCTGGATTGCACAGTGGGTGTGTGGCGGGGCCAGTCACCAATGTGGGAGGATAGGAAAGAGGACCAGTTAGTTTGTGTTGCTTTCAATTTGGTTTGGTTTTGTTTGTGAGGAGGGTGAGGTGGGGTGGAGATCATGTGGTTTGTTGGATGTAAGTTTAAGGCATCTGGAGATATCTGGGTGGAGATGCTTGGGAAGGCAGTAGGTAGGTATACATAAGCTAAGAGGAGAGGTGCAGGCTGAAGAAAAGCAGCTAGGACAGACACATAGATATCAGGTTGTTTGCAGATAGTTACTGAAGCAATGGAAATCTATGCATAGAGTCGAAAGTGCAGAGAGCCTGGAGACTAGCCTTGGGGGTCACCAGCTGATACTGGAGGCTGAGCAGGAGCTCATTGGCAGGGATAGGCATATCATCATTTTGGTCTGGGTTTAAATGCACCTCTGTCAAAAGCAGCTCATGAGCAACAGTCTGCGCAAGTCTCTGTGTTGACTCTGTTGCTGACCCATTGGACTCCTTCCTGTATCACACTGGAATTTTAAGTAATGTATTTCAGCGGGGCCTTCGATAGCTCAGTTGGTAGAGCAGAGGACTGTAGTGGATGAGCCGTGGCAATCCTTAAGTAATGTATTTCTATTTCTTTACTTGACTGGCTCTTCCCACTACATTCTACTTGGCAGAAGCATGTTTGTTTTATCTACTCATGTATCTCCAGAGCCCCACTACAGGGCCAGGCTCATAGTATGTGTTCAAAGGTACTCCTTTGAATGAAAGAGTGAAGATATCAACCAATGCGTCCATCAGCCCGTCAGGCAAAGCTATAAGAAGGCAGTGAGGATAGCAGTGTCCAGAAGCTGGTGGGACAGAAAAGGCTCTAATAAGGAAGAAGGGTCAGCGGGCTGGATTGCTGCTACTGCCAAATGAGATGGATTTAGCTACATCAAAGCCATTGAGAGCTGACAGCGAATGAGCCAGATAGAGATGGTTGAGGAGTGGGGGGGGATGCTTCTCCAGACCTAGAATCTTGGCGTCAGGCAAAACTGCCTCTCTCAAACCTGAACCCAGACCCCGGCCCAGCCGTGGGCCCAAGTCCTACATGATAAGTTATAGCAGCCTCAAAATCTCTAACCTTAGTGGCCCCGAGCTTCTGGGCTCTGTCTGCCAGCCTTACGCAGACAGAAAAGTGCAGGCAGCCAAAACGTTGCCAATTACGACAGAGACATTCCTGCACTGATCTCTGCATTCGTATCTCTGAAGTTACAGTCTATGAAATTAAATAAGTGGCCCATACTCCAACAAAGTTTCTTAATCAAATAAGGTTGGGAAATGGAGGGATAAAGCCACTTATATGGGCTGAGAGCCCTTACCAAGGGACTTCTTAGGGCTCCTGACATGACAGAGCATCTGTAGTTCAGGCTCCTCATTTCTTTCCATTTCTTCCGTCATTAAAAATAAAAATAAAAAGTTTATTACAGCAGGTGGTAGTATCTTTCCTGAAGAGACGGAGCTTCCGGAGGGAAGGAACCCCACCTGCCCAGTGCCTGTACATGTCCTCTGCCCGCAGTAGGGGACCTTTATTTGTTTATTCAGACACGTCACAGGGAACCATGCCAGGGACTGGAGATAGAAGAAAGAATCTGCCATCAGATGGCTGTACGCCCATGTTCCAATCCCTCACACCTAGAGGGACATCCCCACTTCTTTCCATGGCCTCCAGGGCGCCCCAGAACCTGGCCATCCCCCACCTCAAACCTCATCCTCCCCAGCTGTCTAGCCCTGTTTTCCCTAGCCCTGGCTTCACTGCCTTCTCACTGACCCTCAAACCTGACCAACTGCCTCACTCCAGGGCCTCTGCCGTCACTGTCCCCCTGCGTGTCCGCCCCTTCCTGCAACCTGCCCTAGCGTTCTCCCGCAGTGGGCCCACTGTCCCCCACCGGAGGCCCTCCCCGAGCCCTCCTGGGGCAGGGCGGCATTCCTCACTCTCACACTTGCAGGCTCGCACTTCCCTTCCCCGCTCTCTTTGTCTTTGTAGCACTTAGCACTACCTGATGATGTCGCGTGTTTGCTTTTATAATATTTTGCCAGTCTCGTATTGCCAGTCTTTGTCAGGCTCCCCCGCTAGCTTGCATGCTCCACGTGGGCAGCTATCCCACTTACCGACGTAACACTGCCCACACGTAATAGGCACCCAAATGTTTGAGTAGCAGCAAATGCCATCTCAGAGCTCACAGTTCTTTGGGGGATATAGACAAGGAAACAGGGAGTGACCAACAGTCACTAGGGAGTGGATGGGACCCCTAGTGCCACCCCCGGATGGCAGCATTGGAGAATGAGTCACATTTAAGGTACATTTAAAATGAGGGACAAGTGGAACAATGCAATTGAAGAGCAGGAGGCAGGAGGAGAGTGCTACAGGCACGGGCCGGCGCTGGCCAGGTCCCCAAGGAGGGAGGGCCCTGGGGACGGTAAGGAGGCTCGTTAAGGCTGCAGCGGCATGCGGTGCCTGTGTGTGTTCATCGGAATTGGACATTTGGCTCCTCTCATTCCTCTGCCATTTTCCAATTAAACTGCTTCAATAGGGAAAAAAGCCTCCATATATAAACACCATTATAGGAAATCATTAAAAAGCAGCCATTTCATTATGGTTGCTCTATCTGCAAACATGCATTAGCAACCCAGAGGTTTCCTTGAGCTGGATTTCCTATGCAAAGTTCGCTGCCCTCTGTTTGCTGACCTCCATTTAAGATAGCAGGAGTGAGTCCAACCTATTCCCTTCATTAAAAATGTACTTTTCTTTTGTTTTTAAACTGCACCCATCAGAGCCAAGGGTGCCCCTTCAGTAAGCTAGCTCCTGGGCACTGTCTCAGGGCCTGAAGGAGTAAGCTGGCAATTTAGAGAGTGTTTTGACACCTGAGCGGTCAGATAAAGGACAAAGGTCCCAGTAAGGTCACATTGCATCTTAAAATAAATTGCACTACCTCTGTTCAAACCTAGTCACACAATTGTTTGGAAAATAAAGGTAATTAAATGGACAAAGACAAAGGTGGGATTTGTGGCTTGGGATTTTTATTTTCTCAGGTTGGCCAAGAGTTCTAGTTAAAAGAGAGGTTGGAAATAACAGCTAACATGCCTTGCTCGCTCACTTTCTGTCAAGCATGTACATGCATCCTCACACTTAATCCTCAAACTTAAAGGAGGCCTTGTAAAACTCCTCATTTATAAAATCGGGATAGCAGAGTTCAAAGGGGATAAGTCCCTTGTCCAAGGCCATACAGCTATGCAGTTATCTTTGTTGTTGCCACTGTGTTTCCATAGGTGGCTTTGCTTTGATACGCCTGTGCCTAAACTGTGAACCGTGCCAATGGTTGGCATGCTACGCTCACTGCAGTCCTTTGAGGTCTCATGCTCATGGGGGAGTTTTGGGAGCAGCTGTGTGATCACAGCACCTGGCTAATAGCAGAGTGTTTGTTGTTAATCGAGATTTTGCAGATCTCGATCTTAGAAACAACACTCTTAGACAAGTGACTCTGGGTGTCGTAATAGAGCAGAGCACAGATGTGCACACATAGGCCCATTGTGTCATGTGTGTTAGCACGTGTGCAGTGTACTCTCTAGCAGGATATTTTACTAGCTCTACAAAACAAAGCTTGTCAGGAGCAGTTATTTGTAAAACAAACAAAGTCCCTGATCCGATGGATCTTTGCACAGCCTG